AGTACAAATATAAATATATAAGTAAATATTAGTAAATAAAAACGTACACAAAATAAACATACAAGTTAAGTGGTAATTTGTAAAATTGTAACACTTTATTTCGGCATGTAGATGATGAACAAAAAAGATAATTACGTCATATTATTATAATATTATATAATTAAAGCATTTCTTATTTTATGTATGTGTGTGTATTTAAATAGCTGTAGTACTTACACTTAGTTCGTAGAACAATCTTAAGAATACTATAATCGGCTTCAAGGCATATATCGTAGGTATATGATATAACAATGAAAGTATGAATATTAACATAATTTTAAATATTTTTTTTCCAGGAAATCTATCAGGGTGGTCAACGACGGCTGCACGCGTGAAATATACGTATGTATAAAAAAATATGCGTTTTTTTCCGGACAGAATATCAACTAAATCGTAAATATTATAATAAAATTCATCATGAATCCTAATGAATGAAAATCAAGTAAGGCTAATCAAAATGTCAGATCAGCAATTGAATCAGTAAAAAGCGTTGGTGCGTTTTTAAAACCGTTTCTCAGCGGTATAATATTATGATATAATATTCCGTGTTGTGGTGGCCTAATAAAAAGCATGATTTGTGATATAATTGTATAATTATATGTATTTTTACATACTAAAGATTTTATTATATTTTATTATAAGAGCTATGAAAACTCGAAATTCAAATTTTTCCTAACGAACCGGAATGTATTAAATAAATTATTGTAWATATAATATATAGCTTGTGTAATATAATATAAGTACCCTATATAAGATGAGATGATGAACAGAAAATCAATGAGAAAATTATATAATAAATCATAAATGTCGATAGATTTCGTGGTTAGWGGCATCATTACTGTGGAGTTTTTGAATTTTGACTTAAGCTGCCCGCTAAACACATATCCTGTAGCCCCAACATATTATTTACTTACGTCACCAGATGAAATGTAATTGTCTTTGGTATTTAGTACATATTATATTGTGTACATACCAAAATACCGTACTATAAGTGTTACAACGTATTCTGCTCATAATAATAATGATAACAATAACAATAACATTATTTATATAGATAGAC